ATGATGATGATGATGATTAAATTATAATACCGCGTGACGAGTGAGCTGCGCGACGTCGCCGCGACTGCGCACGATGCTCATGGAGAAGAACCTCTCTGTCGTTCGAAACTAGTAGAGCTTTTCTCAGTATATTCACGTGAGTAACCCGCGATTTTTAGGTAATTCAATATTTATCGATACTATTTCTCTATGTTCACAGAAAAAGCACAAAGAAAATAAGGAGCAGACGAAACAGCAAGAGAAATCAACCAACAAGGATGTTAAAGAAGCCACGAAAGTCAACACGACACAACCTGAACAGACACTCTCTAAGAAACAGAGGAAACTGCTGGCCAAACAACAGGTCTGTACAAATCGCCGAATTTATCTCGAAATTTACCTTTCAATACACATTTTCGTGCCATCTATGAAAAGTATAAAGGTAATTTGTAGTGAATTTGTTTTCGCCAAATTTATTTCGCTTTCGTCCCGAAGTGAAACGGCTCTGTTTCGGTGAAACAAGTGAAACAATAGTGCTTCACTGACGGACTGACTGACAGACTATTATTTTTTTTGTACTATCTGTGACCCTCGGCTTCGCTCGCGTCACAAAAGGATAAAAAGTAGCCTATGTGACATGTGACAGTACACACAGCGCCATGTATACCAATAATTTTGTTTTCCCTCGGGAATATCAAATTTTTCCGGGATAAAAAGTACCCTATTATTTAATCCAGACTTGTAACTTTAACATCTGCAAAAATTCTAAACAATCGGTTTAGTAGTTACGGCATGAAAGCAGAACAAACAAACAAACAAACTCACTTTCCGATTTATAATATTAGTAAGGATTTGTTGACGTTTCAAAAGTACCAAATTATGGTTTAGTTGAAATAAATGCTTTGACTTGATTTGACAAATGAAACAAATGAATTTATTTCTGCAAATAGGTTACAAGGCAGCACTTTTACACGTCAATTTTATCAAGCGAACGATGAGGCCGACATATCCTAACTGACTACTCTGAGAAGAAATGCCGAAACAAACTCAGAGGTCTGTCTCTTTTAAAGTCCAGACAAATTTGTATAAAAGATTATGTGTGGATTGTTAAGGAGGTTCGCAGAGGGTTGACTCTTGAATCAAATACTGTAGGCAGACGACTGATTTTTATTCCAATGTCTGTCTAGTAGATTATTTTAAGACATAGACAACTTCGTTACTTTTGTAACTATAGATAAATTATTATGTTTTCGGCTTACTCACGTACTCCTTTTTAAAAGGCCGGCAATGCACCTGTGACTCCTCTGGTGTTGAGGGTGTCCATGGGCGGCGCTGATCGCTTACCGGCGCTGATCGCTTACCATGTTGGAATTACCGTGGTAAAATGAAAAAACAATGGAGATTTCAGCAGATTTCAGCCGGCTTTATACATATTTTTCACCTTTGACATTGTAAAAATTTATTTGACAAGACAACAAACAAGTTCAGGTTCTGTTTACAAACCATAAACAATCTTTCCAACATACCATCAGGTGATCCGTCTACTCGTTTGCCTCCTATTCCATAAAAAAAAAATATTTGGTGCTAGATGATGATGATGTCACGAAATGGTGCTCATGAATATGAGCCTCTAGCATGGCTAGAAACTAGTCAAGTTCCTCGTCAAATTATTACGTGAGTAAGCCGAAAACGTAATAATTTATTTCGTATGTCTCACGAAATGTATAATATAACTATAGAATATAGATTTAAACTATCAAACACCAGGAGGTCACCGGTGACAGCAACCTATTGTTCTATAATTGTGTCTACAAAACCGGTACTCGACGAGTTAAACTGTCAAACACCACGAGGTCACCGGTGACCGCAACCTATTGTTCTATAACTCGTCGAGTACCGTCATCATAGACACAATTAAAGAACAATAGGTTGCGGTCACCGGTGTCCTCGCGGTGTTTGACAGTTTAATTGTGTCTATAATGACGGTACTCAACGAGTTAACCAAGTTTAAATAACAATTCTCCTCTATCTAGGCGGAAGAAGAAGAAAAGAAAAAACAACAACAGCAAGAATCAAAAACCAAAAAGACCGCAGAAGCGAAGAAACCCGACCCACCGAAACCCGAACCCGCAAAGACTAAGGCAGAGAAAAAGGCGGAAACTAAGAAGGAGAAGAAAGAAGAGAAGAAGAATGAGAAAGCTGAGAAGAATGAGAAAAAAGGAAAGGAGAATAAACAGGAGAAAGGTTGGTCCAATTATTATAGTCTTTTTATACTTATTATGTTTATTATAGCTGTATGGCGAAGCTTCTTCCCATAGGCTCACCTCCTATTACATGGGACTCATAACATAAATAGTGAAAAGTGGGTGTTACATTGTACAGTGGCATTAAGTGCCGTAATGTGCACCTCTGCCTAACCCTTCGGGGATAAAAGGCGTGATGTTATGTTGTCCTTTTCTCAGAAGCTGTGGCCAGCCTAGCAGGCTATCGCGGCTCTGGCTGTGGTTTAGTCAGTAAGAGTCTGACACTCCCTCCCGCCTCACCCAGGCGGGAGAAGTCATTCGATGATCCCCCCCCCCCTCAAAAGTACTGTAATATACGCGATAACTTAAACCCGATATCTCTTTACAGCGCCCCAAACCCAGCCAAAGACAAAACAACCAGTACAACAGCAACAACAAGCGACAACTAAGAAAGAGAACAAGAAGCAACAACAGCAACAACAACAGTTGCAACAACAACAACAGTTGCAGCAAATGCAGCAACAGAAGTCGCAAGTCATTAATATTACGCCTGATACCACTATTGAAGTTGTTAACAAGAAGGTAAGAATATGATAATACTTTAACCCAGGGCTGTCCAAACTACATACCCTCGCGGGCTAATTAAATTTCTTACAAAAACTGGGGGACCAGAAAAATATATTCAGTTGTATAATGACCTTTAACATTATATTTTTTACTCACAGACAATACTTGTAGACAAATCATATACTGAATTTTATTATTGTTGTTACATATTAGATGAAGATGTTGAGATTAAAATGTGTCGCGGGCCACATGAAACCAAAACGCGGGCCGCATGCGGCCCCCGGGCCTTTGTTTGGACAGCCCTGCTTTAAGTGTTTTAAGTGTGGGAGAGCCATGCTTTGGCACTGCTAGGCCGGCTCGACCGGAGTGAAACCACCAATGAGCAGAAAACTATAGTGAAACATTACTTGTCTTGTGTTTTCATCATATAAATGGGGTTACCGGAGGCCCAATTATCTCCCTTCCCAGTCTTCCCAATCCAGGGATCCACCTCACAATCCTCAAATTCAACATTATAATTGGGATGATGACAGGTTATGGAAAATTAAAAATCTAATTAGTCCGTAAGTTAGGTAATGAAAAAATATTAGACACGTATTTTTTTTATTTTATCGTATAATAAAACAATACTTAGATAACTGCCTCATTGGCCGAGTGGTCGTAAGTGCGACTGCCGGGCAAGGGGTCTCGGGTTCGATTCCCGGGTCGGACAAAGTATTACTGGGTTTTTCAAAAAATTCCCAGTAGTAGCACGGAGTCTGGAATTGTGCCCGGTATATGGCAATAGGCTCACCCCCTATTACATGGGACTCATAACATAAATAGTGAAAAGTGGGTGTTACATTGTACAGTGGCATAATGTGCACCTCTGCTTACCCCTTCGGGGATAAAAGGCGTGATGTTATTATGTATGTAATACTTAGATAAAACGAATCAAAGTTTAGGAGTGGGGGCTAAAACGTCATTCCTACGTATAAAATGTACATAGAAGTGACGTCACGCGACATTTCAAATCAATATATCGTCGAAACTATTCGTTTCTGTAAGAAAACAAAAAATACGTGTCTAATGTTTTTAAACAATCTACCAGACGGACATTGAAATAGAAATTAGTCATCTACCTTATTAATTCTGCTTTCTTTCATTTCAATCCCGAATAGTTCATAATATGTGAATGATATATTTTTTATGTTAATTCCAGAACCAGTGCAGCAATGAGTTGGAGAAGCCAGCCTCATGCAGCATCATGGAACAACTCAGCTGTGGAGTACAGGTATGTTGTATTTTCATTATGATCGTCGTCATCATCAGCCTATAAGTGCCTACTGCTGACCAAAGGCCTCTTCTCACACGGAGAAGGTTTGAGCATTAATCACTACGCTTGCTCAATACGGGTTGGCGATTTCAAACTTATAATTAGAAATTATAAGCCCAGGTTTCCTTGCGATGTTTTCCTTCACAGGTTGTCAGTGGTGTCTAAATAATCCATACAAATTGGTACTTGCTCGTGTATGAGAAGCGGGCGTCTTAAACCTCAGGGTCACAACGACATACGTATATGATCGCATTATGATTAGAATTATAATTACACATTATTATATAAAAGTTGTGCAAGAGGTGAATTATCTACACGACCTTCAAATCTTCAAGAAAAGAGCGTATTCCTTTTTAAAAGGCCGGCAACGCAGCTGCGACTCCTCTGGTGTTGCGGTTGTCCATGGGCAGCGCTGATCGCTTACCATCACTTGATCACTTACTATTCCATAAAAAAAATGTGGAAAATAGTTGATTCCGCGCGGTTTCACACGCTCTGCTCAGCTCCTATTGGTCGTAGCGTGCTTTATAGCCTACAGCCATCCTCGATAAATGCGCTATCCAACACAAAAATAATTATTCAAATCAGACTTGTAGTTACGGAGATTAGCGCGTTCAAACAATAAAACAAACTCTTCCGCTTTATATAATAGTATAAGATGATGCTATCATTAATTTTCTTAATTTGTCTGCAGGTTGCAGACCTAAAGCTGCCTCCAGGTATAACCCTGACGAGAGTACAACCCTCGGACAAGAAGGAACCGCCGCCCATCAAATCTGTGGTAAGCAAAAAGATTATTGGTCTTAAACTGTCAAACACTCCGATGACACCGGTGACCGCAACCTATTGTTCTTTAATTGTGTCTATAATGACGGTACTCGACGAGTTAAAGAAATATTTTTTTCTAATAACTATCGTGAGACTAATGCCCGAATACTGAAACGTTACTCAATTTCAAGTCGTGCTTAAATATCGTGCCATCTCTGTCATTTTACAAAGAATTTGTGTAGACAGAACTATACTTAAGCACGACTTAAAATTGAGTAGCGTTTGAGTATTCCGACAATACTAAATTAACTGAAAATCGCGGGTTACTCACGTGAATATATTGAGAAAGAAAAGCTCTACTAGTTTCGAACCACAGAGGGGTTCTTCCTCATGAGCAGCGTGCGCGGTCGCGGCGACGTCGCGCAGCTTACTGGCTAGCGTTGAGTAGAGCTTTTCTCAGTATATTCACGTGAGTAACCCGCGATTTTTAGTTAATTGAAAGAGATGTATTAAAAAGGCTCAAATTGCTCCTGCAAATCGACTGCCTCGTTAGCCGAGTGGTCGCAAGTGCGACTGCCGGGCAAGGGGTTTCAGGTTCGATTCCCGGGTCGCGCAAAGTACTACAGCATGCGTATTATACATATAAACACTCCTTAACAATCACCCTTTCTATTAAAAAAAAAACCGCATCAAAATCCGATGCGTAGTTTCAAAGATCGAAGTAAACATAGGGAAACACAGACGGCGGATAGCGACTTTGTTTTATACTATGTAATGAGTCATAGTTATTCCTCAGGAAAAATCGACTCTAGATATGAGAATTTTTACTATTTTATTAATAAAGTATTATTATATTTCCAGCCTCTATGGAAAGCTGGTCAGCTCCCTGCCGCGCCGACGCCAGTAGCCAGACCGGCGCCCATCATCAACGCTGACCCTGCCAATGTTATGTTCAGCACTGCTCATCCAGGTGAGATATAAAAGCCGTAATGTTATTTAAACTGTCAAACCCCGCGAGGACACCGGTGACCGCAACCTATTGTTCTATAATTGTGTCTATAATGACGGTACTCGACGAGTTAAGTGCCGTAATGTGCACCTCTGTATACCCCTTCGAGGATAAAAGGCGTGATGTTCAGGCGCGGTGAGAGTGTATAGCTCTGTTTCTTTCCCTCAATGGAACCATTCTGATTTTAGGACGTCATAATAACTCCGCTGTGCAAAGTTTCTTTCTAAACTATATCTATATATATAAGACCAATTATTGGGAATCTACCAAAATAACCACAATGTGTTGCTTCTGTAACCAAAAGATTTATTTAAACTAAAATTTTACATTAATATCTAACTAAACTAAACTATACACACAATAAAACATACAAACATACCTGTAACCAAAAGAAACGACATTTAAAGATAATTACTAGGTATGTTTCCCGATTCCCATATTATATTTAAGTATTATATTAATATTTTGTATATTTTTTCTTATGACATAAATGTCCATTTGACAACCTTTATTTTACCGTCTCTACCGATAAAAGCAACAATGGAGGTGATAGCTCCATCTATCATCGTTCTAAATAAACTTCTTCTTTACCGGCAGAGACGTGTAGAAAATAAATAAAGAAAGGTTATTTCTTTATATATATATAAAAGAAAGTCGTATTAGTTACACTATTTATAACTCAAGAACGGCTATATCGATTTGGATGAAAATTGGTGAGGATGTCGCTTAGAACCAGGAGACGGACATAGGATACTTTTTACCCAATACTTATTTTTTACTTTTAACCGAAAATCAAGAACGGGTACGGGAAATATCGGGATTGCGCGTACGAAGTCGCGGGCAGAAGCTAGTTAATTATATAATTCATTTTCTTATGAAACCGAATCAATGCATAATAGGGTAGATGACTAATTTTTATTTTAACGTCCGTCTGGTAGATTATTTTAACTCGTCGAGTACCGTCAATATTGACAAAATTATAGAACAATAGGTTGCGGTCACCGGTGACCTCGCGGTGTTTGACAGTTTAAATCATTAGACACGTATTTTTATTTTCTTACGGAAACGAATAATTTCGACGATATATTGATTTGAGATGTCGCGTGACGTCACTTCTATGTACATTTTATACGTAGAAATGACGTTTTAGCTCCCACTCCTAAACTTTGATCCGTGTTATCTAAGTATTGTTTTATTATACGACAAAATAAAAAAAAACACGTGTCTAATATTTTTTCATTACCTAAGTAACGGACTAATTAGATTTTTAATTTTCATACCCCGTCGTCAGTCATCTTAATATTAACTAATAAAAAACTAATTCACACCTCTTCTCCACAGAACCACCAAAGCCAGTTATAATAGCGGACCCGCCTCCAGTGCCAGGCAAATCGAAGAAGGCCAAGAAGAAAGCCAAAAAGGCTGCCGCGGCCGCCGAAGTGAAACAAGATGGGACCAAGATCGTCACCTTGCGAAATCCAATGTTCCATCCGAATCTACCACCTGTACAAATAACCAATCAACCAGCGAAGAAACAGGAGCAAATTCGAGTCCCAGACCCGATACCTATGCCACCGAATGCTTGCCAAGCGACTATCACCCCTACGTCAAATGGAATGTTCACGATAAGGAACCCGCTAATGACAATGATGCATCAACAGAGCCTCATGGGCGTTAGGGCTCAAAGTCCCCAGCTAAACCCCATGTACCCACAACAATATAACTACGTAAACCCAAATAACTACAATCCCATACAAAATAACAATTCCCAATACATCGACCCGCCACGAGCTTCACCTAAATCAGATGATTTCCAAACTAGAATCATGAATTTGGCGTCTTTCACGCAGAAGAACGATGAAGGCTACTCCCTATTTAAGACCCCAGATGACCAGCAACAAAGGAATTTCCTAACTCCGGAGTACTTTGAGAACCAAAGCCCCAAGTCTGTGGTGTCCCCTAACCCTATAGGGACGCGACCAGAGCCTAACCGGGGATTTGAATCCGACATATCTCTGTTCGCCAACCCCATTCAAAGACCAGAGCCTATAGGAACTCCGATGAAGCAAGAAGATCAACAATACACTGGGTTATACACACCATTCGGTCAAGAAGACCGCAATGTGTTTAGGAATGCGCTCTTCAGTGACAAAAATGACGATTTAGGGTTAAAAAATGTAGCTAATGGCGATACGTTGCCATATTTTCAAAGGCTAAGGGTTGGGTCGAAGTTAAATAACGAAGTGTCTATTCATCATGTTACTGAATCGAAATTTTATAAGACGCAGGTAAGATGCTCCATTTTCTTTTTGCTGTGTGTTGATATAACATAACA